GGGGTGCGTGGCGAGTCAGCCGTGACACATAGGGCGAGGATGAGTAAGAGATGTGTCTTTGTGCTGATCAGAGGGAGACTAGCTGTTCCAGTCCCTGGTTTGCCTTAGTGCGTCGTAGGTTAATCTCTTCGTCCACGTTTCCATCTTCAGGGAGTGTCGCTCCTAGATATTTGAACTATTATTTGAACTGCGATTAGTAGCACATATTGATGAACCATTGAGAGGCAGGGCTTTATACGTTAGTAACTGGAGCTCACCTGCAGAGTCCTGCAAGCAAAGTCAATGGGGAAGCCTGCGGGAAGTCGAAAGTCATTTCTATTCATGATGGTACTGTTTGTCCCTGCAGATAAAGAGTTATCGACAAAGGATGACCTTAGGTTGACTGCTTCCCCTTCAAAACCCAACTCAGGAAGGCAAAGTACATGCTGTCCTCGACGTACGACCACAACTGAGTGAATTAAGTGAATCGCTGCAGTTGTTAAGTTAGTAACGTGGTTGTTAAGTGAATCTGGCTTCTGACTTTGTCAGAAGGTCACAAAAGGGGATCACAAGACCCCAACCGTCATAAATGTGAGTCGGCTGCCAAGGGTCTGAATTTTGATGACGTGACCATGGGGACGCTGCAACCGTCGTAAAGGTAAAAAACGGTCCTAAGTCACTTTTTCCAGCACTGTTTAACTTCAGACTGTCACTAAACAAATTGTCGTAAGTCAAGGACTACTTGATCTTGCGAAAGTGTGGGAAACCAACGGGTTGTGTCCTCCTCAACGTGACTGGTCAGGAAGACCCACTGCTCATTTGTAGCTGTTTCCTTTTTCTCCGAAACCCTTTCTGAGTTGTGCAAGCGGCTCCTGTCACTAACCTGCGTGTGTTTCTGTGTGTGTGTGTGTTGTTGTTTTGCGCGGCTCTCTCTCCATGCTCTTTGCTGGTGACTTCTGTCCTTGATATGCTCAGCCCGTGAATGAGATATTATTATAGTGAATAGAGAGAGCTATTAAAGAGAAGAATCATCTACTTTCTCTGCCAAACAATGCCGTTTTTTTGCTAATTCTCTGCAACGTTTGGGTCCCATCTGGCTGGCACAGTGTGCTCCAACGTCTCCGGTCCATTATGCGACTGCTTGCCTGTTTGAACAATTTTCCCTCTCCGCTCGCTCTCCCTCCCTCCTTCGCTTCCCATTCTTCTCCCGTTTAATAGGCTGAACAGAGACTTGCTTAATCGAGTAATGTCAAATATGCGCAAAACAGACCAATAAAAAACTAATGCATTTCCCTGCCTTTGTCTGCCCGTCTCTCAAGTGCCTAACATTTTCCACTGGAAAGCCCACTTAAAACACATCACCAACAATTCAACACAAAACCACCACTTGTTGGTTCAATCCAGGCGTCTGGCTACCCTGTTTCTCCGCTTCGTCTTTTCTGATTTTGTTTTGCCTTCCGAGATGCAACCTGGGGAAGGATGAGGCCGGCGCTGAGCACCATTCGCTCCCCCCACGGGACCTTGACGGAGGGGGTGCTGTGCGCCGGGAAGGATGGGTCCCCCTTGTTTTTAACCCTTGCGCGATGCTCATCAAGAGCTGCGGATTTACCCGCAATGGCCTTGAGCTGAAATGTGTGTTTTGATTAAAACAAAATATGGGTGGAGGATAACAGCGGTAAAAAGGACTTTTATGGGTATGAAAGAGCTATTTATCGGAACTTGTTTCAAAAGAGGACGAGCCAGAGAAGTATGTTGGCCCTTGACTTACAACATATATATATTTAGCGAACGTTCGAAGTTACAACAGCCCTGGAAAAAGGGACTTAGGGCCATTTTTCACACTTACGACCGTTGCAGCGTCCCCACGGTCACGTGATCAAAAGTTGGAGGCTTGGCAACTGGCTCGTATTTATGACGGTCGCAGCGTCCCCGGGACCAAGTGATCCCCGGTTATGACCCTCGGACAAGCAAAGTCAATGGGGAAGCCAAGATTCACTTAACCACAGCACTGATTCGCTTAGTGACGGTGGCAAGAACGGTCGTAAAATGGGGCAAAACTCACTTAGCAACTGTCTCACTGAGCAAGGTGAATTTTGGGGATCGATTGTGGTCGTATGTTGAGGACCACCTATAATTGAGGTTCATTTCGCACCGCTCGGCTTCCCCTTCTCAACCCTTTGGATGTCGGTGTGGGCGATCCTTAATGCCGTGCAATGGTTTGACCACGTCATCATGCGGAGCGAGGGGTCTCCCTCGGAGGAAAGACGCCAGGACTGTCCGTCCCTCTGTGCCCACATCAACCCACGAGGCTCAGGGAAGCCGCCGGAGCCCCACAGGCTGACGACATGCGCTCCGAGTCAAGCGCTCCCATAACCCCAGGGGTCACGCCGGTGACCTTCCCTGGCAGCCTTTCCCCAAAATCACCCAAGGGGGGGAAAAGAGGCCATTAGGGCACCGAGGGCTACGGTTACCCGAATCCAGTCAAACGTACCTGTCGGATCAGGGGCCTCCTGGATATTTAAGCCCGTCCTCCATTAGGCCTGGGGAGGGGGTCGGCTGGAAAGAGCCCGGCCAGGCCCCCAACTGACCACCGCGATTGAGTGACCAGATGCCATCAGGGTGCCTTCTGTACGCCTCTCTCGGCCCGCTTTCTTGGCGGGGAGGGACGGTCCCACGGGACGGCCCCGGGCGATGGCCTCTGTGCCCTCGCTGGCTTGGGTTCCCGGTCCTGCCTCTCCCTCAGGTGGTTCCCAGGACGGGGGGAAGAAAAGAATAGCTGCTTTCAGCAGGCCCAGGGACGGCTCTGACAGAAGGAGATGTCAGCCAGGTCCCCCCACAAAGCCATCTTGTTAAGGGATTTACAAAGGAGAATTTTGCCGCCGTTCCTAGGAGCTTCGGGCGAAACGGCCCCCAAAACGGCTAAATTCACAAACTGGCTTTGTGAGGCTCCTCTTTTCCTTCTGGGGCAGGTTTTTTTTTTTTCCTCCCCCCCCCCACCTTCCATCCCCCAATCTTTTTGCATGGCGCTTCAGGCTCAATTATCCAAAGGGCCGCTTTGGGGGAGGAACCTAGAGGTCGTCTATCCCAACCCCGGGAGGTTTATAGCAGCTGCAAAGCAAGTCTAGGGATGATGAATGAAACCCTGACTCCATTTGGGGTCGTTTAGGACCCAGCAGTGAGAAACTCTGAAGAGGAAACGGGGGAAAAAAAACCCAGGAAAAATGTCAAGCCGGCTTTTAACATGCCACAACCCCGAGGTAAGAAACTTGAAGAGTTTTCCCAGCTTTGGGAACGAACGGCAAAGGGCTTCGGTCCCACGTGCCGTCTGGCCGCTGTCCCTGTCGGAGACGTTGGGAGCCCACCTGCGGAGATCTTCTGCAGCTGGGGAAGATTAGCCTCTTCTCCAAGACCAAAGCCATTAACTTCTTCCAATAGGCTATCACTTCCGCTAGCAAAGCCGGGAGATGAGTTATTGATTGAAAATGACCCCGGCAAAGCCCCCTTTGGCTCTGCAGCCTGAGAAGAGTGCCGATCAGCCCAAGGCCGAAGCCAACGGGACGGTCCCCAAACAGCTGCCGGGCACCGTCGGCTTTAGGCGACCCTGCGGTGGAGCGGTGGAAGAAATCCGGACGGCTGTGCGAGAAGCTTTATATCCAGATATATGTTATTCCTTGTACTGTATCCATCTTCCTTTAAAATATTAACAGAATCCACAATGGCCCGAGAATCAGGGTCTCCACTAGATAATTGTCAGTCAAGCTGATCCTAAGTTAATCAACTAAAATTAGCAAACTTCGTCAAACTTCCTCAACCACCCTCCCCCCCCCAAATAAGTTACCCATTGTCCTCCTCTTCTCCAGGACAGCCCCTCAAATATTGGAAGACTATATACAGAAAAACAGAATTGGAAGGGTCCTTGGAGGTCTTCTAGTCCAACCCCACTTTCGGGCGGTTTGGAGAAGAGGCCAGCCGCCCGTCTTCTCTGTGACCTGCTTATGTGATGACAGTGGCTTGATTAAGTTGCAAAAAGACAGTGGTTTGATCAGCTGGCCAAATCCTCAATGCATTCTGCTCAAATAGAAAATGCAGAAGAAACGTAACCGGAAGGGTAAAAAAAGATCAGAGGATGGTGGCAAACAAATTTAATAAATAAAGTAAGTTGAATCTCGCTTAAACAGGATTTAAGTTGGCCTTCCCATCCAGGGTCTTCCATCCTACCAAGCCATGCAGGCAAAACAAATAATAATAATTGTTTTTCCTCTCTGCTTTTCTCCTGGACCGGTTTCAAAAAAATGGCTTCGGAGACCAAACATTTTAACATTCCTTCAAGCAGTATTTTCCATCCTTTTTTACTCTCTTTACCTTGAATCAGATTCTCAGCATTGAATCCCCAGGGAAGGTCAAAAGCAGTGCATCAAAATAGCAGCGATAAAAATCGGATAAAAGGATTTGGAAAAAAGGAAAGGCAGACAGAGAAACTCAACCAGACTTCATAGCAATTAAGCCAAAGACATAATCACCTAATGGTTGGTGATTAAAAGGAAAATGCTAATTTTTTTTTTCTTGCTAAGCTCTTACAGGTAGAACGAGGGCTCGTTTTGGGTGAAATCCAACCGCGGCAGTATTATGTTTTTTTTTTCCTTGCACATACAAACAAAAAATTGCCAATTCTGAGCAAAATACAGGGTGTCCTTCAGATGGCCCAGGAATTTTAAAAATAGCTTGAGCAATGTATGATGTGTGAGAAGATGAACCCTCCCCAACAAAGTAAAGAAAGATGATTACAAAGGGTGCCACTTGTTAGAATTGTTGAAATAACGACGGAAATATTTTAATAACGTCTTGGTTCGTAAGGAAGACTCCCTTGCTTTCCCGCAGCTTGCCGCCTCGGCTATTGAGAAGCGTAACAAAACAGGCCTCGGGAAGGTGGATAACCGTCACCAATTATCACACGGATGATAAGAGCCAGGAAGAAATTAGCAGAAGGGGAGAGACTGAGCTTTTGGGCCTCTGGATTGCCATTAATTCTGAGCCGGTCTGACCTTGTCGCAGAGCCGATGATATTCTTTCAGCCTGTGTGCCAACCGAAGGGAGGGAGAGAGAGAGAGAGAGAAAAGAAAGGGAGAAAAAATAATTATGAATTTACATGTAACACACAAAGATTTGAGGCAATTAAGCAACGTGAAACAACAATAAATAAGAGGGGTTTTGTTCCTGTGGTTTTTTCTTTGACTCCTGCTTGCTAAACACACAATTATCTGTCAGCCTTTTCTGTCTGTCTGTCTGTCCATTCTATATCAACCCCATCTCTCTCTTTCTATCTGTCTGTCTGTCTATCTATCTACTTATCTATCTCTCCATCCATCCATCCTGTAGCTAGCTATCAATCAATCAATCTGTCTATCTTACTGTCTGTCTGTCCTATCCCATCTCATCTCATCTCATCCCATCCCATCCTATTCGATCTCTTCATCCATCCATCCATCCACCCATCCATCCATCCATCCATCCATCCATCCATCCATCCATCCATCCATCCATCCATCCATCCATCTCTCTAATCTCTCTCCTTTCTAATCTCTATCCATCCATCCATTTAGACATACCTAGTTCCCTCAACCATTCATCCTAAAATGCAACCTAACAGAAATGCAGAATGCAGAATAGCAGAGTTGGGAGGGAGGGACCTTGGAGGTCATCTAGTCCAACCCCCTGCCCAGGCAGGAAGCCCTATACCATTTCAGACAAATGGCAGTCCAATCTCTTCTTAAAAACCTGCAGTGATGGAGCATCCACAACTTTCGGAGGCAGGCCGTTCCGCTGGTTAATGAGCGGACGGGACCCAGTGTCTTTAGGGAATACAAACCTAAGGGAATTGATGTTGATGAATCCAGTAGCATCCGAGGGTTCGTAACTCCCTTGAACATCCATGCTGAATGACAAGAAGAGACAGGATGAGTCAGAACGGCAATATCAGGTTTGGAAAGAGACTGGGATTTCTCGCAAGAGACTGCCGCGTAGTATCTTAAGCCACGGTTAGGGCAGAAGAAGTAGGCCCGCACTCATCCGAGAGTGCTGGTAGTCTTACGGTTTCCAAGGTGTGAAATTGCACACAACACAAACCCTCATGCAGGAAGGACCGGGCAGATGTGGTAGCCCCAAAACAAGCAGGGACAATTTAGCCATCGCAAGACGCCAGAACGAAACGTTAGCTAATTACAGGCAGTCCTCACAAATACGAGTTGGTCGCCAAGCGCCTGGATTTTAATCACCTGGCCTTGGAGATGCCGCAACGGTCATTAAGTGTGAAAAACGGTCATAAGCCCCTTTTCTCAGTGCTGTTGTAACTTCAAACGGCCACTAAATGAACTGCTGTAAGTCGGGGACTGCCTGTATTAGGCGTGGAAGACCGAACGTTCAGAAATTAGGATTGGGGATGGCCTTAACTGCCTGCAAGGTGGAGTTTGGTCAACACCCCACTCTGAAGCCAGAGTCCTGGTCCCTTGACAAAGCCACCCCTGTTTCCCTCCCATCAAAGGCTCTCGGCCTTCACCCGTGTGGAATTCACTCCTGGCACAGAATCACCTAATTTAAAAGCGATGTCTTTCCACAACCTTTGACTTGAGAGCGTTAGCCTCAGAAAGACCCTTTTGTTGGGTAAAACGCCGGCCCATTAATTATGGGGCAATAAAAACAGGCCGCATAATGTTCCAGGCACTCAAGGTCTTAGACGCAACCTCTTTCTTTTCTTCCTCCTCCTATTTCTCCCTCTGTTTCTCAACACCCCAGCCCCCCCCCACCCCCAGTTCAATTCCCCCCCCTCCCATTTTTTCAAAGGACAAGAGCACCCCTTGGTTGACTTGTCGAAAGAGAAATTGTCCCTTCATCTAACCTTTAGCTTGATCCTGAAGCAGATGTCCACCTTCTACCCAACTGGTTGTCTGTAAGAACGGGCCCTTTTAGCAGAATAACCTAAGAGTTGGAAGGGGTCTCGGAGGTCTTCTAGTCTAACCCCCTGCTGAAGCAGGAGACCCTATCCCATCCTGGTCAAAGGGCTGGCCAATCTCTTTCTAAAAAAATTGATGGAGCACTCAACAACTTGTGAAGTTGTTCCAAAGTGTCAGAAATTTCTCCTTATACAACAGGTGGAGGCAAAATGTTTCTGGTTTAGCATTTGGGATAGCAAAGAGGGTTTGCAAGGTTCCTCGTGGCACACTGGTTTTTTTTTTTTTCTTCTTGCTACTTCTCAGAAATGTCACAAATATATCACTTTATAAGGCCACACTTGGAATCCTGCATCCAGTTTTGGTCGTCACGATGAGACGTTTAGAAAGAGCGCAGAGAAGAGCAACAAAGATGATCAGGGGACTGGAGGCTAAAACATAGGAAGGACAGTTGCAGGAATGGTCTAGTGTAATGAAAAGAAGGACGAGGGGGGACATTTTCTCGCAAGAAGTTGTAAGAAAACACTCTGGGGGGGGGGAACTGGAATTAAGCCTGCAACAAAAATCCCGTGTGCTTGTTCAGCCCCAAATCGGACTGCGAACCGGATTCACTTCTCATCACGGAAGCGAAGAGGAGAAAAATAAATTTGAAATAAAAGAGAATCTTTTTCCTCTTCTGCAAACTGCAACTCTCACATATATATTTTTTTGAAAGGGGAGGGGATTTTTTTTTTTTTTTTTTAAAAAGAGAGAGACAGTTTACAATGACTTTACCTCCCCCAAAGGGCTATAGAAAAACCTCTGAGCTTTTATTTTTGCTCATTGAAGTGGTACTGACCTGCTCTGTAATTATGTTACTTTCTACCCACTGTGCAAAGGCATTTTTCGGCGTTACATCTCTTGCGGCACCCGCTTCAGTTCCCATGATGCCGTCACTCAAATGCTTTTCAACCCAACGAGGTAGAAATCAAGAAGAAAAGAAAAATGGCTAACGGCACAGTGAGAATAAATGTCCCTGGGTGTTTTTTTTTTTCCCCTCTCCTTTTTCCTTTGCGCTCTTTCTTCATTCCCCCCACCCCACTCTCTCTCTCTCTCTCACTCTCTCTCTCCCTCCCTCTATCTCTCTCTCTCTCTTTTTAACGTTATTCACTTAATTTCGCTGCGTGAGAATGCAAACGATAATGAAAGGTTGGGATGAATTATTAGAAACTGCTGGTTTTAAGGGGGAGGAAAGTCAGATCCAGAGGAGAGAGGCATAATTTGACATTTAGTCTGACTGATCTAAACTGATTTGGGTATATTTATGGTTTATAAAGCATTTCGAAGGATTGAAAGGGGAAACGAAGAGACAGAAATAAGAAAGAGAAGCAGACAGCAGTGTGTATATGTGTGTGTGTGTGTTTGTGTATGTGTGTGTATGTATAAAAGGCTGAAAGCTTAATGGTGAAAAATACTTTTCACTTTTAAACAAGACCTTTGCTTAATTGTGTGGATTTTTTTTTTCATGCCTCTCAAAAATCAGTCAGGGTGACAAAACAGAAGAAAAAGCCAAAGTTAAGAATATATAATGTCAAGGTGGAAATTTTAGAGCTTTTAAATCTTGGGGGCACTTTTTACCACAGATTTATAGAAAACTCAAGGCAAATTTAAAAAAATACTTCATTGTTCAACATCGATTTAAACTATGGAAATCTCACGTGGGATATTCTTAAAAGTCTACTCTTAAGTTGCCTCCTGTGTAAGCGGTGGGGAAAGAGTTATTTATTAGTTGGGCTGGAGTGGAGAAGTTCTATTCTGCAGTACAGATTTTCTTCCCAGGTTAGCTCAAAATGAAAATTGCTCTTTTCCCAATACGATTCTCCGGAGTTTTCTTCAACAAGATTTGTTGAGGTGAAAGGAACAAAGTGGCAAGATTTCCACTGGAGGTTTTTAAGAAGAGATTGGATAACCATTTGTCTGAAATAGCTTCCTGCCAGAGCAGAGGATTGGACTAGAAGACCTCCAAGGTCCCTTCCAATTCTCTTATTCTGTTTATTCTTTCTGGTTTCCTGTCTAACAGTCTCCTATGAGCCAGTAAGGAGATGAGTCTCTTTTTTGCTAATGGAGAAGCTCGGATATGTCAATAACCAGGAGCATCCGTTGAGTTCAAAGCACAGAAGGGTTTATTATTGCTAGCTATGCATAAGAATCTGGTCAACTAAAGGTCAAAGCTAAACTGGGACTAGATGAGGGTCAGTGGAACTCAAGGAGGGCTGGACCTGGGTCTCTTGCGGCTGTGCAGTGATTCCAAACGGATGACACGTTTAACACCGCCCTCCAATTCAGCCTGTTTCATCTCCCATAGAGATGGCTTGTGGATGGATGGTTCTCCAGAAGCTTTTATCAGACTGGGAATTATACTTGAGGGACTCACCTGACAAGCTCTTCATTGTACAAGGATTGGGGCGATTCCCTTCCCAAAATGTAGACGTTACCCTTCAAGACAGAGATCTGGACTTTTCCGTCCACCAGGTCTTGGGAATGGCTGATGCAACGACGGATGAATTCGCCTTCGGGGCTGAACCAGAAGCCTACCCCAAAGAAAGAGATCGCTCTGAGCAATAGCTTACGTTTCCGGAGGGTCATTCTTACCCGATTCGCTTGCTGTAGGTCCTTTGCAAACACAGGCACCCGCGTCTCTGTTCAAGGCACACAAAGCCAGGATGATGATGATGATTATACATGTAACATTACCAAAGACCATCTGGAGAAGACCAGGGAGCCGACGTCTAGGGCAGATGGCTAAAGAGCAAAACAGATCCTGCCTCACCTGGATTATCAAAAGATAACACAATGCAAAGGTGGAACAGGATGACCATTTCTAATCCCCAGGAGGAGGAAGAGGAGCAGGGAAAGAAATCCCCCCTTTTCAAAGGAGAACCTTCAAAGGAGAGTTCATCTCCAGGAGCAGGCAGGGGACACCCCCTCCCCCGTTCTCTCCCCCCCCCCTGTAATTAAGAAGCTACAGTAGAAACAGTGGCGCCTTTCTGCCTCAGACTGGTCTTCCTCTTTTCAGTTTCTGCAAGGCAGGCCCAAGTCTCTATCACACTGGGACATCTGTACCCATATGGTGGAGATCTCTCCCTTCCTCTCTTGCTTCCTTTCAATTCTCAAGTAACCTTTTCCCCCTCGCCAATTCAAGGAACCGCGTCTCAATTTCCGTTGAACTATAGGCCAGGCTTTGTTGCTCCTGCTATCAGAAGACAATAGAGGCCAGATACCCTACACTGATCCTCAGGTTTCATCCTTGTTCTTGGGAGATCTGGAGGATGGATAAGCCAGCGACTTAATCACTTCCTCTAGGGAAGGGATCTTCAAATTTTGGGAGCCAAGGACCCGTTAAGGATCTCAAAAGTCTCTTGTGGGAGCCGTCACTATGGAGCTTTAGCTTCCACGGTGGTTTTTTGGGACAGAGACACCAAACCAAGTGGATACACCAAGTCTTGAAGGCATCGTATTTCATACAAGAAAGCCAACATAGGTTGTCATGCATTAGACAGCCAGTTTGGTCTAGTGGTTGAGGCAGCAGGCTATAAAGCAGGAGACTGGCTGGGGAATTCTGGGAGTTGAAGTCCACAAGTCTTAAAGTTGCCAAAATTGGACACTCTTGATTTGGACCGTATGATTAGCTTGAAGGGGATGGAACAGAGCAGCATTTCTCGCAATTAGGTCTTCAGAAGATGGAAGTCACCATCACAACGATGGAAAGTTGAAGACCGTTTTGATGGGGTTCTATCAAAGTCTTCCCCATCTTAATCACGACTCTTCAACTTTTGAATCTGTGATTCTGCATATCCTGCTGTTTATGCTGGGCTCAACACGTTTGATTTTTGGGGTGGAAATGTGTATCTTTGCATTCCCTAACAAACTTTTTGGCACAGAGTAGAACCTTGTTTTATATTTTAATACAGAAAAGGGACCCTGCCTTGGCTAAGTCCAATATTTATGGAGATGTTGGCAAATGGGTGTTTTGGAATTGTCAAATGACCCATTTGTTAAGGACCAGTTGAGATCTACTCAAGCTTAGAGGTCTTTGCTTTCATTCCTATTTGCCCTCTTCGCAATGTTCTCTCTAGTCAACGGGATCCAACTCATGCTAGACTGATTTTGTAGATGGGGACTGCAGCAAGATTATTATACGCGCCATGATGGAAGAATAATGAAACGGTGGAGGGGTGGATTGTGAAAATGTCAGATTTGCAGAAATGGCAAAACTGACATGTTTGGTGTGAAGGAAAAAGACACACACACACACACACACACACAAACTTTTCTGAAAGACTGACTTGTGGGGATTTTCTGCTGAAAGAAGAGAGACCTGAAATTGTGACTGGTGGAACTGAAGATGGAGAAAAAGGTGGATGAAATGAGGGGACGAAGAGATTCGTGCATCATCTAAGAAGGAGGGGGACAATGAGGTTGTCATTATTCTGTTGAAAAGAAAGTCAGACATCATTTATACATGTTTTTTCTCCTTCCTTTTCCTTCCTTCCTTCCCTCTTTCCCTCCCTCCCCTCTCTTTTTCTTTCTTTCTTTCCTTCCTCCCTCCTTCCCTCCCTCTTCTCTTCCTTCTTTCTTTTCTTCCTTCCCTCCTTTCTCTCTTTCCTTGCTTCCTCCTTTCCTTTCCTCTTCTCTTTCTTTCCTTGCTTCCCTCCCTCTTTCCCTCCCTCCCCTCTCTTTTTCTTTCATTCTTTCCTCCCTCTCTCCCTCCTTCCCTTTTCTCTTTCCTTCTTTCTTCCCTTCCTTCCCTCCCTCCCTTCCTCTTCTCTCTTTTTCTTTCCTCCCTTCCCTTTTTTTCTCTCTCTTTCTCCTTTCCTCTCATCCTTTTTTCTCTCCTCCCTCCCTCTCTCCCTCTTTCAATTTATCTTTCATTCTATGGGGGGGGGGAAATCCTGACAAACTATACCTTTTGAAAAAAGTTAGTCAATCTGGTGCTCCTCTCTGCCTCCGTCCCCCACCCCCGCCATAAGGACCCTCCCTGCTTTGCAAAGGGAACCCAGCGCCCCTCCTCAGAACAGGGAAGCGGGTGGGAGCTCCATGCCCTTCGCAGCACCTGGTGTAAACCTGGCGCAGAGCAGGAGCCCGAACAAAACCAGTCCTGCAATCCTGTCTTCCCACCACGGGCTGGAGGGGAGCTTGCAGGGATATGAGAGAAATGACAGCCGCTAATTGCCTTAAATCCAGAGACAGGTTACAGTAATTAGGTGTTTAAGGAAGACAGGGGTACAAAAACTTCGCCTCCAGCAGGCTCCCTCCGCTGAGTAGAGTGCTCTGTCATCGGCAGTATTGTTATTTGGCTTTTTGGGGTGGGGACGGGAAGGGGCCGTTTTGTTTTGCATCTTTTTGCGTGGTTTTCCTTCTGACAAAGATGCTGCAGCTCGCCTGCCAGAGTTGATTTTTGGGAAGAGGAATGACTAAAAAGGCAGGGAGGTGAGATTCGGAATTTGCCTGGTTTAAATGAAGCCATGACTGGATGGCAAGGGGAAGGGGAGAGCCAGAAAAGATAATAAAAAACCAAGTGCAGTGCAAGAAAACACACCCATGCCAGGCCACCAGGTTCTTCTTTCATTTAGGGAATAACTTTCAGGTAGGTTCTTGAGCAAACAGGTAGCCAAGGGACACGAGTCTGTGTAGAACACAGAACGATCGGGTTGAAAGGGACCTTGGAGGTCTTCTAGTCCAACCCCCCCCTGCTCAAGCAGTAGACCTTGCACCATTTTGGACAAATGGCCGTCCAGCCTCTCCCTTAACAGAAACTTTGGGCCCAGTTGTGATCATAAGTTGAGGACTGCCTGTATGGGCTTGAAAAAAATCTTTTATACTGCAACATAATGATTCCTTATGCCTGATAGTATTCTGGCTCAATGTCAGCATTTATAATATGCTTTTTTTTTAAAGGAAACAGGAAAGACAATTTGGGATCCCCAAATTGTTTGAGAACCCCAAATCCTATTTAAAGCGGGCCTCCTTTCCTAATCTCTGCCCAATGAATGTTTCTCACTGTGGTTTCTTCCAACAACCCCCCCCCAGCTTTCGTTCTCCTTTATTTTCATTTTCCCAACTGGCTGCCAGCCAGAAATGGCTCACCCTGCTGACCACACCTGCTTGAAAATGCCAGGGGTAACAACCTCTTTGGCACTTGTATTTAAAAACACAAGCCAGGATTTCTTCTACCGTTTTCATGTATTGCCTCTAACAAAACCACTCCGGTCTTTCAGCCCAAGACAAATTGCACAGTGCCCCAGTGTGGGCTAATTCTACATAGCAAACTCCCATCAGGAAGAAACATAAGAGTGGATAATTTAACAGCTACGCACTGGCTCCAAATTGGTGGAGTGGGTGCTTAAACCCACTCACAGCTAGACAATCTGATTAGTGAGTTCTCCCCGCCAACCTATTTCCAGAGCGCTGCACTCGGCAGCGTGTTGGGAAACACAAACCAAGGTGTGCATTTTTTTTTTATTTTAGTTTTGCTTATTTGTTCAGTTGTGCTTCGTTTCTTTCTCCCTTTTTTTTCAATAAAGGAGAATGTTTGAAGCTCAGAGTTGACATGAGGGATCCTTGGCACTTTCTAAGCTTGGCTGTTTACTTGAAGATGTTTCATGACCCAAACTAGGTAACATCATCAGTGCTAGAAGGGAGTGGAGTTTGCAGAGAGGATGAGGAGGAGGAGGAGGAGGACAATGACTGTAGGCTCCTTGGTTCTCTCTGAGCTTGGTTGTTTTCTGGAAGACGTTTCATGACCCAAACTAGGTAACATCATCAGCGCTAGTGATAATGAAATGTTTGCAAGAAAACAACCAAGTTCAAAGAGCGCCAAGGATCCCTCATTTTTTTTTCCAGTTTCTTTCCTTTTCTAGAAAGGAAAAAACGTTGTCTTTTTCCTCCTCCCCAGCCTCTATCACTTTCTTAGCTATTAAAATATTAATTTTAATTCTAGCTAATACGAAAACTATTAAACTAGGTTTTTTTTCACTCTATAAGTTTTTCAAAGATGATATTATTTAGGTTTCTTTTTTGAAGTAGATAAACTTTTGTGCAACGGTTATACATGCTTATATAGAGTGTGAGCTTGTGTGTGTGTGAGAGAGAGAGAGCTTGTGTGTTAGTTAAAAGTCCCAACCCTGTCAGGCACGGAAATAACTTTAAGGTGGAAAAATGTGCCTAACAAATCAGTTAATGTTGGTTCAGCACCCTGGATAGCTCCCGCAAAGATAGAAATTAACCCACTTGAGTTAGTCAACTGAGATCAGAAGGTCACAAAAGGGGATCACATGATCCCAGGACACCGTGACTGTCATAAATATGAGCCAGGTGCCAAGCATCCAAATTCTGATGCTGCAACCGTCGTAATTGTGAAAAAATGGTCTTCGGTCACTTCTTTCAGTGCCCTCGTAACTTCGCTAAACAAACCGTCATGTGTGGGGGAACCACCTGGACCTCACAAGGCTGACAGCTGGTCAGGAACGGTGGTAGACCAACACCCGATCCGAAGAGTTTGCCGCGTGGGAGAAAAGACGGGCTGGAGCAGCCACGTTCTCACGTGGTTACGTACCGTTGTACACCAACTCGGCAAACTTCGTGGCCAGCCCTCGCTTGATGTTGCGCACTTCGCGGTCCATGGTGAGGGCCTCAAGGTCCAAATGAGCATAGTGGAGGATCGTTCCCGCCGGAGTCTCGTAGATACCTAGCCGTTTCATCCACCAAGGAGGGGGAGAAATTCAGAGGAGAGAGAGAGAGAGAGAGAGAAAGAGAGAGGGGAAAAAAAAGAGAATGAGGCCTAAACTGTCACGAAATGACACAAAATAATGATCTGGTTGACAGAAGGAAATGCAGTCCCTGGCTCTATTCAGTCTCAGCTTGCCATAAAACGCAACTGTCATTACAATCCCGCTGGGGCCGAGACAGTCCACTCCGCACCTTGCGGAGAAAATTTCTAGATTCCTCTTTGGGAAGAAACACTCCGACTAGGCAAAATGACAGGGTTTAAGAAGGCGATTTCCCACCGATGGCTGCCCACCAATCTGGGCCTGAAAACCTATAATTAAACAACCACGCAGGGCAAAATCATGGGGGTCTCGGAGGAAAAGAAAGAAAACCCCTCTCATCTGTCTCTCTCTCTCCCCCCCCCCTTTAACTCTTCCAACAAACAAGAAAAGGTTTGGGGGGGGCGGAAGACTTGATAGGCAGCAAGGATGGAAAACAGCCGAACGAGAAGGAAAATTTCGCACTGATTTCCTGTCACTGAAGACTGGATTTAGTCCGTCAGAAGTTTGGGGGGGGGGAAACAAAACACACACAGGCACACCACACAAGGAAAGCTTGAATTCCCTGGTGTGACTGGTACCAAGGGGATAGCAACGAGGGGCTTTGGGGAAGGCAGTTTTTATTTTTTGCTCAGAAGGGGATCAGTGGAGACCCCCATTTACAGAAGCAATACATATGCCCCCCCAAAGCAAAGGACAGTTCAGGATTAATGAAGAGCAACTTCATTACAACTGCAGGACAAAGAGGCTAAAACACGGGAAGAACGGTTGCAGGAGTTGGGAATGGCCAGTCTGGGGGAAAGAAGGAGCAGGGAGGAGAGGATAGCAGCCTTCCAATATTTGAGGGGCTGCCAAAAAGAAGAATGGGGTCCACACTGATGGGATGACTCTTACCTATCTATACTATCTATTATTATCTACCCATTTATCTATCTATCCATCCATCTATCTATTTAAGTATCCATCCATTTACCCATCTCTCTCTCTCTCTCTCAATCATCTAATTATCATCTATCTATCTATCTATCTATCTATCTATCTATCTATCTATCATCTATCTATCTATCTATCTATCTATCTATCTATCTATCTATCTATCTATCTATCTATCTATCTATCTATCTATCTATCTATCTATCTATCTATCTATCTATCGGAAGAGCCACAGCCAAGACAGTTGTCAGAGAAAAAAAATCTGAGTCTGGGCCAAAACAGTAACCCGAGAAGGCGTCTCAAACAAGACCCTCCCTAGTATCTAAAGGCAGATGGGGGTGGGCAGGGTGGGGAAGAACATTCAGACCTGCTAGATTTGATTACTGCAACCTTCTAATAAAGTAGTCACTGTGTATAACTACATGGGTTGTGTGTATATGTTTACTTTGTTTGATCATGTGCTGAATACATAGTGATAAATAAGCACCCAAAATGTGATTGCAGGGCTGCTGGGGAGCGTGCAGACATTAGAACTTTGAATCCGGGTTAGGGGCGGTCAGTCATAACTCCAAACGTTCACTAACTGAGGACTATCTATTCTTTGCAACTTTCCAGTAGCAATTAGAAACCTCAGAGGTGAACTTAAAAAAAGAGCAGACTGGAAAGATTTGCTCTGTCAGGAAAAAAAAAACCTTGCTTTGGTGATGTTAAAGTTAATTTAGACTGATAAAAAGCTGGTGTTTCAGCGTCGGATCGATGTCTAAGCATTCCTTCGGTTTTTCCTCTCCTTTATACATCTCCAACTCCCTCCTCACTCCCTACCTGCCATTTTACTCAGGAGAAATAAATGAAATGCAAGACACCTCTTTCTCCATCTCCATCTCTCCCTCTCTGAAATATTTTTGCTCGATGGATGACAGGAAGCCGAAAGCTCAAAAGATGGCAGTTTGGAAGCCAAAGTAATATTTTGGATATATATATTTTTTTCAACTCCCTTCCCTTCTCCCCTGACAGTCAAAGTGCAAATCACAGGCCGGGGACAGAAGCAAATGATAGATGTTCTTCCTGTGTTACTATGCAAAAGACAAGAGATCCCTTCAAAAGTGTCACTCCACCGCTCAGCGTGTCAACTGCTGCTTTTCTCGGTGTTTACAATAAAAAGACAGCGGTGTCAGGAGGCAAAGCTCACTATATTTCATTCGGGCTGTAATTGCTGCTAGGAAAGATTGAAGTCGGGGGGGGGGAGAGAAAGGAGTGGATCAGGAACCTGGGGGGGGGGCTACATATATTCCGTTCCAGACAATGATGGTTACTTAAAATTTTCTAATTGGTAATTGGCCCGCTTAAGTTGCACTGATAGGATCCATGGTCCTAGGTGGGACAATGCCCTCTTGATTGGGAACCCTTGCAAGAATATCCCAAGGTCCTTTTTTCCAGTTCTGAAGAAGCTTTACATATAGTAGCTCAGAGTTGTTGTACCTAAACAGGGAGCAAGTGACACTCACTAGCCCTGATGAGGTTATCTAGCTGGGTCATGAAACATCTGCAAGAAAACAAGCTCAGATCTACTGTATATAAACAGGGAGCAAACCCCACACTCACTCACATGGATGAGGTTACCTAGTTGGGTCATGAAACGTCTGCAAACAAACAACCAAGCTTTCAGCTACAGCAGTGTTTCTCAACCTTGACAATTTTAAGGCATGTGGACTTCAACTCCCAGAATTCCACAGCCAGCATTGCTGGCTGTGGAATTCTGGGAGTTGAAGTCCACATGCCTTAAAATTGTCAAGGTTGAGAAACACTGAGCTACAGTATATAAACAGGGAGCAATTCACACTTACTAGCTTTTGGTAAAAAGCACTTTTGGGACAACCACGACCTGGATGATGGAGAATCTCCTTAGACCCTCTGTAAGAATGTCAGCCTTGTGAGGTAGTCCAGACCAGAAGCGCATTCAGAAGCACTAGCTCTATTCTTAAGGTTAAGGTAACATTAGCAGACTCTTGAAAGGCTAAAAGGACTTTCTTCCCCCTTCTGAGAGGTTTGCCACATCCCTTTTCCTTCTCGGAGCTCAGCTGCCTCTTATCTGATTAGTGAAGCTACCTCTTTCTCCCAGGGTGAGCCCTTTGCCAAGAGAGATTCAAGAATTCAGCCTGGTTATTCAGATATTGGACTTTCACAACAGCATTCATTGACCAGTTTGGGGATGAGCTGTCAAATTTAAAGACAGCCTGTTTGCCAGCCAGCGAATCTATTGGTTGATTGAGGTTCTCCTGAACCACAGACTATTAAAACCACTCTGGATTAGGATGTTGTATGAACCCATATGAACCCTACATGCTTAATCTATAGTTAATGTGTCATGCAAAACCAGAACAAGGGATTGATTATGCTATAGATCAGGGGCTCTCCAGACTTGGCAACTTTAAGACTTGCGGACTTCAATTCCCAGAATTCCCCAGCCAGCCTCCCAGAATTCTGGGAATTGAAGGCCTCAAATCATAAAGTTGCCAAGTTTGCGTATTACGTAAATACAACTTTACAGCCACTGGAAATGCCCAGAAAGGAAATTAATTCTCTCTTACCCCTTGATTTCATCCCAATAAACCGATTCTCCACAATATCAATGCGCCCAACACCGTGCTTGCCCCTGAAGGGAAAAAGTAAACAGGAGATGTTGGTTATATTTTTTTTGAACCTGCATAAGAAGGGAGCAAGCAACATACATGAGCCAAAACTCGAAAATCAAAAGCGATTCTTCTCCGATGGACTTTTCTTTAATGAGATTTATTCAAATGAAAGGGACAGGGCTGCATGAATTCAAGCAATTGAGCTCTGGAGCCACTAATATTCCCTTGATGTCTAGAAGGTAACAAAGACTTTTTCATTTTGAATCTAAAAGCTTTCTGGTGATCTGGCAAAGGGGCAGGTCTCTCTGCTGATTACCAAGAAGGTTGTGGCAGGCTGTTTACGTAACAGATTCCCGAATATTAAATGGTCTAGGAACCAATTCTTGCCCTGTCGACCAGTCTAGCTAAATATTGCTCGGATCTGGGGGAAATACTTACGCAATTTCATTCAGGTAAGTGAAGAGTTCCAGGGAGGTTTGGTAAACGGCCCCATCCTTCGTATTTGTGACTTTCACAGGGACACCTGCCAGGACAGGAAAAAAGCTAGATTATTGTGGGATCCTTGGTGCTGTTTGCTTGCAGACATTTCGTGACCCAACTAAGTAACATCATTAGTGCTTGTGAGTGTGACTTGCTCCCTGTTTGTATACAGTAGCTCCGAACTCAGCTGTTTTCTTGCAGACGTTTTGTGACCCCACTACGTAACATCATCAGTGCTGTAAGTATGGAGTTTGCTCCCTGTTTATATACAGTGGCTTGCCCTGCCACAGAGCGCCCATATAGTTATATGGGGGTTTGCTCCCTATACTGTATAAACAGAGAGCAAACTGCACTCTCTCCTAGCACTGATGATGTTACCAAGTTGGGTCATGAAACGTCTGCAAGAACACAACCAAGCTCAGAAAGCCCTAAGGGCACCACAGTCATCCTCCTCCTCCTCCTCCTCCTCCTCCTCCTCCTCCTCCTCCTCCTCTCCACAAACTCCACTCCCTTCTAGAAATGATGCTGTTACCCAGTTGGGTAATGAAACGTCTGCAAGAAAACAACCAAGCTCATTTCAACTCTAAACTACAGGGAATCTCTTGACTTGCAAACTCTACGTGAGAATGGCCCACACTGGGAGGAGGCAGGGGTTTGGCACGCCGAGGGGCAAATTTCACTCCCTTTCGGGAGGTGTCAGTAAGGCAGACAACACTGGCCCAGAATCGCCTTATTAACGTCAAGAGTGTCTCTTTGAAACCTCCCTCCGAAGTTGTTAAATAGACGTGACAGATATGAACGCCGAGTAACTTCTCACAAAACTGTGGCTAAGCAGCTTTGCTCCAAAAGCATTTAAATAGATTTGGGGGTACATAGGAGAGACGATGGGGAGAGAGAGAGAGAGAGAGAGAGAGAGAGAGAGAGACCCTCCTACATTATGAAACTGGATAAATCTCCGGAGAAAAGAGAATTGGGGAGGGGAGAAAAAATGCATCAATATCCTCACCAGCCCTTCCATCCAGCCCCGATCCTTCTCACACGCCCTATCACTGTCTCTCTTTTTTTTTTTTTTAAGGGGGGGGGAGAGAGATGGAAACAGCAGCAAAGGCTCCGGCTAATTAAATTTCATGCTTGATCATTGTTTGGAGGGGAGTACCTTCTGTTCCACCAGTCGAGGGGGCCCTGGACCGGCTGAAAAAGGGGGAGGGGGAGGAGGAACGGGGGGCCCCCCCCTGGACCTGCCACCCACAGCCCCTGTAATGGTTTGGCGGACAAATCCTATCTATGTTTCGAGTTATCCGCCTGCCAAGGCTGAATAGGGCCGTCTCCCGGGTCCCATTGTAATTTTGGGATGAGGGATGGCTCCATGAATTAATTATCACACCTTTCTCTTTCGGTGACAAGGGTGGGGGGGGGGGAAGAGGGGTACCCCGACAGGGAAGGAGGACGGTGGCCGCCCAAAAGAAAGACACGGCCTCCACGCCGTCCGTCCTCCCCCCCCTTCTCAAGCAGGATGAAATGAGCAATAAATGTATACGGAAACAAGGCCTGGATAAATGCCTTGGTGGGCAGCTGGGGGGGAAAACGCCACAAAGGCCGAAGGAAGGAGACCCATTGCGGCTAATCTGTCTTCCATCTGCCCTCCTTATTTCCATAGAGGGCTTTAGTTGGGGGCTAATCAGCCCTCAATAGCTGCTTTTCTAGTCCTCCTGACAAATCCCGCTGCGTCTGGAAAGCCCCCCTTCTTTCTAAAGCCCACTTTCCAGCGGGATTTTTTTATTTTATTTTTTTTTATCATCATCATCATTATTTAACTTTGCAAAGAAGGGAGACGAAAAGGTGGGCGACCGGGCGGGAGAGTTGATCAATTTGGTTGTAAATGACGATTAAATAGAAGTTGTCCCCTGGCTGTAATGAGTCCTAAATCTCATCTGGGTGAACGGGGGGGGGGGGCGACCCTGCTTTTGCTCATCTGCTCCACTTGTGTGGAATCGCCCCCTTTTCCCGGGGCCATTTGATGCCGGCCCGGCCCAGCGGAGAACCGGGCATTGTGTCCCAAAGCTGCTTATCCCTTTGAGAAGAGTTAATAATTAGATTAGGACTTCAAATAAATTAACTAAGAGGGGGAGTGAGGATGGAAGGCCAGGCTAAAGAGAGAGAGAGAGAGAGAGAGAGAGAGAGAAGTGGCAGGGAAGGGTCTGTGGAGACAAGCTCCTTAACTGGAGACTGAATAAATCCTGAGGTTGCATCCTAAAGGATCCCCAAATCTTGGTTTGGGTTGCATGCTAAACAGCACACACACACACACACACCTCAGAAAGGAAGGAAAGTGGCATCATTACCAAACTTAGCACTTCTAATGCCTCTGCTAGCTTCGTAATGGATCAGAGGCCCTGCCAATCAAGTTGTGTCTCTTTGATTCTTTAAATACCCACCGTCAACTATTCAACCAACCTTTCTCTATTATCTTAGCCTGGAGGAAATGAAGACTCTGCTTTTCGCCACCAGTTAATTTATTTCTGACTTTATTGTGTGTGCCTCTTAAGTAACGTTGGAAACTACTAGATGGGGCAAATTCTTCGGGACGGACAGGTGGCTTCTGAAGCTAGCGGAAGCGAGACCGAGCAGAGATGTTGAGTGGAGAAATAGACATCAAAGCTTGTGTCTTGTTATCCATTTATTTGGGGTTTATTGTTTATTAAATCTACTAGTCCTCGGCTTATGACCACAATTGAGCCCAACGTTTCTGTGAGATGGTTAAGTGAGGTTTTACGACCTCTCTTGCTAAGTGATGGTTAATGGTTAAGTTAGTAACATGGTGGTTAAGGGAACCTGACTTCCCCATTGGCTTCGTCAGAAAGTCGCAGAAGGGGATCACGTGACCCCGGGACACAGCAACAGTCACAAGTACATGCCAGTGGCCAAGCCTCTGATCTTTGATCACGTGACCCCGAGGATGCTGCAACGGTTGTAAGTGTGAAAAGTGGTCGTAAGTTATCCTTTTGTCAGTGCCCTTGTAGCTTTGGACGGTCGCTAAGCAAGTCAAGGATTACCTGTATTATGGGCAGAATCTGATCTTCTCACCTTTCTGGAATTCAATCTCTAAAACATCTGGAAAATCTGGAGCTGTGGCAGGGTCTCCGGTCTTTTTGTAGATGGCAGGAGGAGGGTGGTTCTGTTGAAAAAGGGGAAAAATCAAAGAAAAATTAAATAACGGGGTGTCAAATCCCCCCCCCAAATGAAGACCTACAGCCAGCAATGGAGCCCGGAATTTCTGCTGTAAGTCATGATGTTTCTAAGACAAGGCCACCACACGAGCAACCCAATGTTATGAACTTTTTTTGTGTGGTGTCATTAAGTGAATATGTTGGTCGTGAAATGAATCCATTCATTCCCATGGGCGTTTTTGGCAGGAAAACAGCCCCAAAGGCCAGAAAGCTGCATAGACAGTTGTAAATTGCAGTCACGTGACTGTGGAACCCAGCAGCTTGAGCAGAGGGCTGGACTAGAAGACCTTCAAAGTCCCTTCCGACTCCGTCATTCTGTAGTCTATAGGTTGGCTGTAAAAGGGAGCTGGTTGTTCATGCTCAGCATGCAGTCATGGGAGCAACTGAGTCTTAAGTATCTTTTAAGGGGTCCATCTTAACTTTGAACAGTTCTTAAGGGAGGACCAGGTGTATATAGTAAAGGTTCTCCTGCTCGAGCGGGGGGGCTGGACTAGAAGACCTCCAAGGTCCCTTCCAGCTCTATTCTATTCTATTCTATTCTATTCTATTCTATTCTATTCTATTTTATTCTATTCTATTCTATTCTATTCTATTCTATTCTATTCTATTCTATTCCTATTCTACTCTATATTCTACTCTACTCTACTCTATTCCATTCCATTCCATTTTCTATTCCATTCCATTTTCTATTCTATTCTATTCTATTCTATTCTATTCTATTCTATTTCTATTTCTATTCTACTCTATATTCTACTCTACTCTACTCTATATTCTAGTCTACTCTACTCTACTCTACTCTAGTCTACTCTACTCTACTCTACTCAGCTCTATTCTATTCTATTCTATTCTATTCTATTCTATTCTATTCCATTCCATTCCATTCCATTCCATTCCATTCTATTCTATTCTATTCTATTCTATTCTACCCTAATCCTCCCATCCCCAACTTTTCGGCTCCCCCCCTTTTCCCCAAACAGCCTTTAAGTTTGAGCCAAGCTGAGATTTAAGAAAAAAGAAGAAGAAGAAAAACTGGGAGAGTTTTGCCTCTTTTGCAAAAGGGGAAGGAAGGAGTCCGGGAACAAAGGCCTAGTGAAAATCAGTCCATTTATTTTCCCCTCAACTTGATCTCATCTTCTTGTTTGACGCCCCCACAGCTGGAGACAGATAGCTCTGGAAGGAAAAGTCAGACCAGGAGAGGGGGGGAATGTGATTTCTCCCCCTTTTTTTGCAAGGAGGCAAAGAACGGGGAGAGAGAGAGAGAGATGGGAGAAATGGGGGTTCATTCTGCATTGACCGAAAAACTAATGACTATTCTTGACCTCAGCAGGTGATCCTAGAAACTGTGTTTTCCCGGCAGTGTCTCCGAGGTTAATACACCCGGGGGGGGGGGGTGGAATAGAAGAAGAAAGCAAAAACTCATTTTGAAAACACATCAACCTTTATGTATAAATATATTTGCTTCTCTCTTACTCTTTTCCTCTTCTTTCACCAGATTTTGGAGCGCAGGGGTGCCAGATCAGGGGAAGGGGGGGGGAACCCTCTCTGTTCCCATAATTACGGTCTGCCTCGAGCACTTTGGAGAAATTTCCACGTTTGGAGGCATGCAATGGGGGGGGGGCAGGTGTCTGGAGTTAAGAGACCCATTTCTTTCAAAGTGGGGAGGGGGAGATGACGGGAAGTGGTGAGGAAAAAAGACTGAAAATGAATGGCACCGTCTAATAATCAACCTATGCCACCTATTGGTAAGATGGGGGGGGTCTTCTTTCCGAGCTGTGAGGTCTAAACTTGAATTTGGCTGGAATTTAAGAGCCAGCTTTTAGGATAGGAAGGAAGGAAGGAAGGAAAAGAGGAAGGAAGGAAGGAAGGAAGGAAGGAAGGAAGGAAGGAAGAAGGAAGGAAGGAGAAGAGGAAGAAAGGAAGGAAGGAAGGAAGGAAGGAAAAGAAGAAGGAAGGAAGGAAGGAAGGAAGGAAGGAAGGAAGGAAGGAAGGAAGGAAAAGAGGAAGGAAGGAAGGAAGAAGGAAGGAAGGAGAAGAGGAAGAAAGGAAGGAAGGAAGGAAAAGAAGGAAGGAAGGAAGGAAGGAAGGAAGGAAGGAAGGAAGGAAGGAAGGCATCACTGCTACATCAGGATCAACCCTTGACTGGCCTCTACAAGATGGACCTTCCTAGAGGAGCATATCAATGCAGATATAACCCGCCATCGAAGGGGCTTCCCCCTCCCACGACCACCCCCCTGGCATCACCAGGGAAGACTCCCCTTAGAAAGCCGGCTGGCTGACGTCCAACTCAAGCATTTATCTCATCCAACAGACCCCAAGAACAGATGGGAGAAGGCAAGGAGAAGCCAGTGGTGGGACAACAACTTAATTATTTAAACCATGCGCATCGATTTCCCTCAACCGGGATGGGAAGGTGCAACAGTCTCGGCCACCGTTAACCAAACCCAGATGAAGGGTCCCTCCTGTTCCCACACCTGGCCTCCTCCCCCAAACCAGCAGACAAGAGGGCTCTTGGAAATTTGAGCTTAGCTGAGGGGAGGATTTGCCTCTAACTTCTTCTAACTTCTCCTTGCATAGTACATCACAACATGATTGGTGCAAGTTGTTTCCCAACCCATCACTGAACAACAGAATAACAATGCTGGAAGGGACCTTGGAGGTCTTCTAGCCCAACCCCTGCTCAAGCAGGAGACCCTATACCATCCCAGACAAATGGCTGTCCAGTCTCTTCTTAAAATCTTCCAGTGATGGAGCAGTCACAATTTTCTGAGGCAAGCCATCCCACCGATTAATTGTTCTCACTGTCAGGAAATTCCTCCTTAATTCTAGGTTGCTTCTCTCCTTGAGGAGTTTCCATCCCTTCTTTCTTGTCCAAACTTCTAGTCCTTTTGGAGAATAATTTGAGCTTCCTCTTCTTTGTGGCAGCCCCTCAAATACTGGAAGATGGCTATCATGTCACCCCTAGTCCTTCTCCTCATTAAATTGGTGCAAGGGCACCGTGCATTATTTTCATAACATATGATTTCTAACCAAGATTATGGGTAGATCTTTGGTTGCAACTCAACTTGACTGTCACTGGACACTGTCCTCAATCTTTGACCATTTGGAATTATGACGATGGGTGGAAGCTCATCAGAGAGTGATCCAATCTGGCAATAAAAAGGAATTTCCTGACAGTGAGAACAATTAATCCATGGGACAGCTTGCTTCCTGGAGTTGTGGGTGCTCCATCACTGGCGGTCTTCAAGAAAAGATTGGACAATCATTTGTCTGGGATGCTATGAAGCCTTGAGCAAGGAGATGGACTAGAAGACCTCTAAGGCCCCTTCCAACTCTGTTAGTCTACGTTCTATGAAATGCAAACAGTAACACGTCCAGCTGTATTGTAGCTCCATCTACCAAGCATCCTAATGCAATTGGATCAGTGGCTTGTAAACCACGATTGCTGGCTTAACACGCGCCAACCCCGTTTATTCAGTAAATGGTGGGCCAAAACAAACCGCGACTTGGTCCAGTTTATGAATCAGGCCTGTTGCTAAATGCGCAGGGCACTCATTTCCATAGGAATCCAACCTCAAGCGCATTTGCTACGGCCGAGTGAATCTATACAAAACGTGAACATTCACACGCGGCGATAAGATGCACCCACACAGAAAATGAGAGACGGGAGGTTGCGCGACCTCATATAAACTAGAAGAGATTAGATTTTTTTTTTTCCCCCTTCCTTTCTCATTCCATTTTTCTTTCTCCTTAACTGTATCTTTAATGTCAGGAAAAAGCAGGGCTGGGTCTCAGGGATGCTTCCGTTGTTTAACCACGGACAGGTTCCCTCAAAACCCACAGAGGGAAGAGGGGGGGCGTCCAATTATACGGACCACGGATTTCAATTTTGAATCTCCTGCTTTTTATTATTTTTTTTTCCTTGGCTCCTCCAGGGAACAACCTGCTTCGAATTTAGGCGTCCTTCGCTTACAATGGTTCGTTTAGTGACCGAGGTTACGATGGCGCTGAAAAAAATGGTCGTGAGTTATGACCATTTTTCACACTTACGACCAGGGCGGATCAAAATTCAGATGCTCGTATTCATGACGGACGCAGCGTCCCGGGATCACGTGATCCCCTTTTGCGACCGTCTGACAAGCAAAGTCAAGGGTGGAGATAGATCCAGTTAACGACGGCGTCACTAACTTAACAGCTGCAGGGATTCGCTTGAGAACTGTGGCAAGGGGGATGGTAAAATGTCTCGCTTAGCATCAGAAAAGTTTGAGCACCACCCTGGTCGCAAGTGGAAAGAAAGTTGAGGCAACAGGAAGTTAAAAAAAAATACTTAAAAGCAAAACCAGCCCGCTGAAATAACTTTTAAAAGATAAAAATAATCTCCGTGGCTAAGTCGGCTGGCTCTTCCGTCTTCTCCCCCCCCCTATTAATGATTTTCCAATGGGGTATCAATGCCTCCCGTTTATCCCAGGAGGCTGGGATTGCAAAGCCATCTTTAAAGGGGTGATGGGAGAAGGGGAGAGGGATGGGGGGGGAGGATTGGAGGGAAGCCGAAAGAATAAGGGGCCGAGGGGGGGGGAGGAGAAATTGGAAGTAAATGGTCCATGAATTAAACTATGATGCACAGCTATCAATGCCGCAAATGGTTTATTCATCCAAGTTGATATTGTTGTGGCTGCGACTGAATGAAGCCTTTTCAGGGAGCCCAGATGAAGTTAAAGCAAGTAAATTTCGGTCTTTCTCGGCATTAGCTGCCTCATTGCTCCTCAATCAGGCCTCACAGAGGCAGAAAATAGCTCAACCATCTGTTTTCAAATCCCTCAACTAGCAGGACTCCCGAGGGGGGGGCACACCGAGGGAGGGGGAGGGGGAGAGATTGGAGGGGGGGCGACCGAGGGCAGCCGAAGACCCGTTTTCCCACCTTGGGAGGAATCAGAGGCCCAGGGCACCCACGGCCAGGGCACAAATTGTGAGGAAGGAAGGAAGGAAGGAAGGAAGGAAGGAAGGAAGGAAGGAAGGAAGGAAGGAAAAAAAGAAGGAAGGGAGGGAGGAAGGAAGGAAGGAAGGGAGGGAGGGAGAGAGGGAGGAAGGAAGCAAGGGAGGAAGGAAGGAAGGAAGAAAGGGAGGGAGAGAGGAAGGAAGGAAGCAAAGGAGGAAGGAAGGAAAAGAAGGAAGGGAGGGAGGAGGGAAGGAAGGAAAAGAGGAAGGAAGGAAGCAAGCAAGGGAGGGAGAGAGGGACGGAGGGAGGGACGGAGGAAGGAAGGAAAAGAAGGAAGGAAGGGAGGAAGGAAAAGAAGAAGGAAGGTAGAAAGGAAGGAAGGAAAAGAAGGAAGGAAGGAAGGAAGGGAGTGAGGAAGGAAGGAAGGAAGGAAGGGAGGGAGGGAGGAAGGAAGGAAGGAAGATAGGGAGGGAGAGAGGAAGGAAGGAAGGAAAAGAGGAAGGAAGGAAGGAAGGGAGGGAGGGAAAGGGGGACGGAGGGAGGGAGGGACGGAGGAAGGAAGGAAAAGAAAGGAAGGAAGGAAGGAAGGAAAAGAAGAAGAAGGAAGGAAGGAAAAGAAGGAAGGAAGGAAGGAAGGAAAAGAAGGAAAGGAGTGAGGAAGGAAGGAAGGAAGGAAGGAATCAATTGAGGGAGGGAGGGAGGAGGGATTTATGGACCACAGCCCGAAGACCGCCACTGTCTCAGAACTTCCTTGGGTGACTTTGGGCCCATCCCTCTCTCTCCATCCAGCTCCTTCCCAGGAACTCACTGAGATACGGACAAGCAGGAAGCAAAGTTTTCTCGGACTGGCTTCTCCTGACCGTCTGCCCACCCCCAACCTCGGTGTCTGATTGTCTAATTAGTGCTGATGGATCGTTTAAGTAGCTCTCCTGGCACAGAGACGCCGTCAGAGCATGAAGCGGAAGAAGAGAGACCAGCCAGCAGGCAACACAACCCTCCTTCCCATTAAGATGTCACAAAAACAGCACCCTCCTTCACCCAGTGGGCACACAACGGAACAGCGGGGTCGTTGTTGATTTATCTTCACCAATACTGTTGTTTTGCGTTGGGCTGGGCTCTCACAAAAGCCAGCGTCTGGTTTGCATGATGCGAAGCTGACCCAACGGGGTTTATTTATTAAACCATGGTTAAGGCAACCCTGGGGCGGGGGAATATCACGGGACTCAGGAAGATCCCCAGATGTTTCTCCAAGCCATCTGTGGTCCTCTTACCTTGGGGTTCTCCAAAATGCCACCTTCGTAGCTTCGGAGGACGGAGATCCCAGCAGAAAGAAGAAGGAAAAAAGAGCGACATGTAAGTGAGTCATTAGCACAACGAGAAAACCTGATGAGGGGTCGGGGCAGACCATCCTCATCCTCAGATGGAAAAGTCTCAAGGGCATCTAACTCTCCCACGAATAGGTCAAATGTAGGATCTCAATCCAACAAGGTCCTCCCTGGTCCTCACCTGATATGCATAAGGTTTTCGTCCATACTCCAAGGATTAGACGGTGTGCTAGGAACTGGGATTCCGTGATCCTGAAACAAAGTGGAGGGGATTAATGAACTTTAATGAGAAGGAGGACTAGGGGTGACATGATAGCAGTCTCCCAACATCTGAGGGGCTGCCACAAAGAGGAGGAGGAGGAGAAGGAGAAAGAAAAGGAGAAGGAGAAGGAGAAGGAGGAGGAGGAGGAGGAGAAGAGGGAGAAGAAGAAGAAGGAGATCTACCTGTACTTTTGGTTCCATCTCTGCCTGCTTCCTTCCTTCAAGTGCATGCATTGGCGATCCTCCACTTTCTACACCCATCTTGTCTTCTCCTTCTCCTTTCCCTTCCTCCCCCCCCCACCCAAATACGGAGGAGACAGTCATAAACCCAAGATCTCTTACAAGGTCACTCCACCAGTCAATTAGCTGGAGATGTTTCTCCAAGTGAAATGGTCTGTGAAAACTAACCACCAGGCACAGAAATTAGCAGGAGAGCAGCAGTAACACCGTGCTAAGCTTGTCAAGCAAGAGAAACAGCTGGACGCCATGCTAAAGAAAAGCCAGCGCTGCAAGTATTTCCTCCAGATTTCATTTCCGGTTACCCCGTTGAGAAGCTGCCCTTCTCGAGTCTTGCCTTGGGTCCAACATTTCACAAGGATGACCCTCTTGGGGGAAAAACCTCCTTCCACCGTGGGTTTGTCTCCCTGTGTTTGCAAAATTTGCTCCAGATTGTTCTCGAAGTGAGCAGAACGGGAAGTCCCATGTAATAACGCAATAGGGGCTATTTCTAGAGAAGCTGGTGGCAGCTTTAGTTGCTTCAGTTTGGACAACTTGGAACGTAAGACATTTGAGAAATAATATGGCTTTGTGGTTAGATCGACTGGGAGGGTTGTGAGAAGGAGCAAACTAGCAACCTCATGAGAGAGAGAGAGAGAGAGAGAGAGAGAGAGAGAGAGAGAGAGAGAGAGAGAGAGAGAGAGAGAGAGAAGAAGAAGAAGGAGGAGGAGGAGGAGGAGGAGGAAGAGGAGGAGGAAGAAGGAAGGAAGGAAGGAAGGATGGAAGAAGGGATGAGGAAGAGGAAGAAGAGGAGAAGGAAGAAGGAAGAAGAGGAGGAGAAGAAGAAGGAAGAGGAGGAGGAGAAGGAAGAGGAAGAGGAGGAGGAGGAGGAGAAGGAAGAGTTGGAGGAGGAGGAGGAGAAGGGGTTGTTATTGTGAGAAAAGACTCAATGATAGTCCCAAAAGTTGGTTCCACATGTAAGAGGTTCTCCTGCTTCCTAGGCCATTGGACAAAATAAAATAAGTAAAAGAAAATAATTAACACAACACAACACAATACAACACAATACAATGCAAGGGTAAGAATCGCACTGACTTAGAACAGGGTGGGAAAATTTACACCTGGGGTGCAGCTCACTCGGAGCCTTGAGGATTGTTCTGCTTGCAACTGTTGTAAGTTGCAACTGGGTCGGGGATCGAAAGGAAGAGCCGAAATCCCTGCAACATCTCAGGTGCTCCTTAGAATCCGAGAACAATATTGGGCAAATGAATGGAGGGCGAACGTATTTTTCCATTAAGCGTCCCATTTCTCTCTCACACTCCCTCCCTCTCACACAAACACACAGACACAAGCATTGTAGGGTCTGCTAAAGTCCTCTTAATTGCTTTACTCCTTCCTTAAAGCTTTTTCAGCAAAGACAGGCAGAGCCAGGAATAAAAAAAAAGGGGGGGGGGAAGCCGGACCACGCTCCGTTTTCCATATAATAAGTGCCCTAATTAAAAACACGCGTACGCCCCTGCCTTAACAACTCGCCTACTTGACAATTTGTTTGGCAACATATGGGGGACTCTTGTAAATTTCCCCTCGAGGCAATACATAACAGATGGCAGGAAAAATAAAAGGGGGGGAAAAACAGCAACCCCAAAATACACGTGTTTCTCAAGTTCAGGGTGGATGGATGGGCATGTTTGCAAATGTTTGCAAACACAAAATAAATGAATAAAAAGCGAAAGGGCTGCCCTTTTTTTTTTTTTCTTTCTTTCCTGCACCCAGCTTTCAATTTCGGGACCTTGGAAATCATTTACTCCGCTTTAGATAGCAAGACAAAAATATAGCTAGATAGATACATGGGACTTCAAGCAATTTTCTGGTTTATACACAAACATTTCTTTTCTTTTTGATTGATTGAACACAGTTGTCAAGCGTTTCTGGAGAAGAAGAGGGCTCCTGGGGAGGGAGGGAGGGAGGGATGCAAAACTCCTAATATGTTTTATTGTGACTTGTTCTGGGAGGAGGAGGAGGAGGAGGAGAGGGAGGGNAAGGAAGGAAGGAAGGAAGGAAGGAAGGAAGGAAGGAAGGAAGGAAGGAAGGAAGGAAGGAAGGAGAAAAATAGAAAATATCCAGGGAGGGAGGGAGGGAGGGAGGGAGGGAGGAAGGAAGGAAGGAAGGAAGGATCTGCTATCAAGACCTTATCAACCACCCATGATTTCCTCCGTGATGGCCTTTCTTGGTCATTCAGACCTTCCAATGCTGGTTCTATACAGGTAGTCCTCAACTTACGACCGCAATAGAGTGTCGTAAGTTGCGATGATCCTAAAATGGCTTCTCTTGTGACCTACCAGGAAGCATGGAAAACAAATAAACAAAAAAAGATTAAAATTCTGGTACCTTAGCATATTGCATGAGGTCGCTGCGTCCTCGGAAGCGGGTATAAAATTCGGGCATTCTCCACGGCGCAATGATCTGCAGATACCATGGAAATAAAGTTGGTTATGGCACTAACGGAGAGGCAGTTTGGTGCAGTGGTGAGGGACGGAGGGAGGGAGGGAGGGAGGAGAAGGAAGGAAAATTGAAAGATGCTAAACTCAAGAAAGGGAGGGAGGGAGGAAAGAGATGGAAGGAAGAGATAAAAAAGAGGGAGGGTGGAAGGAAGGGAAGAATTAAAAAATCTTGGACCCTGGAAAGCCAGGCTCCTTAATTAAAAGCCCAGGTATTATTAGTATTATTATGAATTAGTACTAGGTAGCCTCTGGTAATAGTTTCATAGATAGTTCCGTCTTGTTCTACATTGTTTTCCAAACCTGCAGTGATTGGAGTTGAACCGAAACTCATAAAAGCACTTGCAAAAATTCTAATTTGAGGCTAAAACGGACCCAGTTCAGTCCAAGGGATTAAAAATAATTCAATTTGAACCCATTTTTTAAAATGAAAAAAAAAAAAAGAAGCAACCACTAGCTAACCGACGATCAAAAAAGACATTCTAACTTTTGCTAAGTCCCTGTGATGTTTTAATTGACCCTTTCTAACAGCCCAAACTAGCTCAGGAGGTTTCAGCAGATCGTTCGGTCTCCACCCAATTTTTTTGCCCTGAGCAGGATGAAAAATAATCCCCACCTTGCAAAAAGACTTGGGATCATCTTTGTTTGGAGAGATTAACGGGGAGACTTAAAGGGCTGCTGGCTTCTGGCTTTGAAGCGCACCCTGCTTAGTCCAAACACCATTCCAGAAAGGCAGAATTACCTATTGAATTTGGGCAGAGGACCTGGTGGGTAACCTGAACCCCTGGGGCTGGTGGCAGCCACATCAAAGCCGCCGTCAGACGGGGAAGGGTTAGTGGGACAGAAGGGGACTGAAACATTTGGTGTTGTGTGGCACAAATTGTGCCTTACCTTGATCCGAGGAGAGAGAGCGTAGTAGGTGAGCTCAAACCGAATCTGATCGTTGCCCTAAAGAAAGGGCAGGATACAGGGTTAAGCACAATTGCAAATAATTTAGCCCAACAGAAGCGGTTTTGGGGATTGCTTTTATTTGGGAACCTCTCCATCATTTTTTTTTTCTGCCCAGGAATCACCTGGTGGTCTCCCATCCAGCCAACGCAGTTAGTCCCCGGTTTACGACCGTTCGTTTGAATTTACAACAGCGCTGGCAATTTTCCCTCGCCGTTACGACGGTCGCAGCGGTTATGTCAGCAAAATTTAAGCACCTTGGCAACCGGCAGACAGTTCAGGGCTTGTCTGTATTCTCTACATTTTAACCAGGTAGTGCAATTCAGAAAAGTTGTTTAAGAGTCAGGTTCGAATCCTACTCGACACAGAAACTTTGAGCTCGTCTCGGGGGTTCCTTTGAAAGACCCGCAGCTCCAGATTCGCTTTTTTTTTTTTTTTAGTTTCCATCCATTGTTTCTTGTCCTGCCTTCAGGTGCTTTGCAGAACAGGTTGACCCCCCCCCTCTTCTTTGTGGCAGCCCCCCAGATACTGGAAGGCTGCTATCATGTCACCCCTGGTCCTTCTTTTCATTAAAATAGACATACCCAATTCCTGCAACCGTCCTTCATATGGTTTAGCCTCCCGTCCCCTCCCCATCTTTGTTGCCCTCTTTCTAGAGTCTCCACATCTTTTCTGTTTGGTGGTGACCAAAACTGGATGCCCTTTAACAGCACCTTCACTCTTTCTGGAGATTCACATGACCACTCAGAGCAACCGAGATTATCGTGGCTTGCAGGAGCCTCCAGAGGCGGCGACAGAAGACCTTGGAGCCAACATCTAACAGGGCTTCCTTCTCCCATCTGTCTCTCAGTCATGGAGCCTCACACAGATGGTGCCCGGAGCGTTGAAGAAATTGGCCGTGCAGAGCAGGGACCAGCCAGCTTTGGGGGTTCGGATTACTACAGGGAGGGGGGTGGCTGCCGCTCAACCCATTTGCCTGCAAGCCAAGCTTAGTTGATAGGAGAATGGAAAATGTTTCAAAGAGCTTGTAGCTTTCTGAAGCTCAGCCCTGGGAAAAGAGCCGAGATAATATTTCTTAGAAGGCAAAAGACACGTTGGAATTCAACTCGGCGTGGCCTTAAATGTACTAAAATATGCCTTTTGCCGTCCGAGAAATATTGAGAAATATTGAACTGGAGTTGAGCGGCATTAAACTCAGCTAGAGTTGACCTCAACTAGAGTCAATTTTTGGCTTAAGACTAGACTGTCAACATTTAACTTTAATTAAGCTTATATGCTGCCCTGTATTATTCATTTATATCCTGCCTTTATTATTTTTACAAATAATTCAAAATGGCAAACCTATCCAGCGTACCTTCCTCCTATTTTCCCCACAACAATCCTGTGAGGTGGGTGACCCAGATGGCTTGTATGACTAAGGTGGGACTAGAACTCACATCTCCTGGTGATTGGCCCACAGTCACCCAGCCAGCTTTCATGCCTAAAAAGCGGGACTAGAACTCCCAATTTTTTTGCTATCGATTCAGAACATTGGGGTTTAAAAAATAATAATCCCGAGATCCTTTTTTGCAAACTCACCACAGAGTTCCCAAACCTCACATTGCAACTTTACACGAGCAAAATCAGCACCCCACCTCTTTTTCTTTTTAGAAAACCTGATTCTGCAGTCTTTCTCTGCCCCTTCTGGGCTGTTTCCGACCTTCTAAAGAAGCCAAATTTTGAATCAGCCGATTAAGCAAAGGAATCTTGACAAAAGTAAGTCTTTGCTTCCCTCTTGTGGAAAAATGCGTGCGGCACACATTTTTAAAAACACTGAAAAAAACACCTGTATTGTAAACTGCGGTTACTCCAACAGCAGGAATATAATGGCCAGGTTTGTTTTTAATTCGAATTTTAGAATGAGATTTAAAAAAAAAATCAAAGGAAAAATAATACTAAAATGGCATCAGTTTTATAACCCAATCTTCTACTGTGAATATTTCATTGTAGTAATTTCAAGCTATCGCAATCTGTTGTTGACCTGGAAGGTGTGCTTTGCAGGCAGCCCAAATGAAAGCAAAGATTCTTAAAAGTGGGAAACTGGTTTTAATTCTTTTCCTACTTCCTGGTTGCCAAACTGAGGAACAAGCAAAGGGAAAAGGCATCAAATGGGAATTTGTGAATTTTTTTGCCTGTGCGCTTAAGCTTGTCGGCTATCCTAGGAAAATCCTGTCCACCTAAACTCAGTTTAGCTAATTTTTAACAAGCGCTGTCCAGATATGCACATTCTTTTTCCTTGGGTTATTCAGCATTACTCAGAAGGACAAAATTCAACAAGATGACTTCCCAGGACTTTGGCTAAGTTTGCTCAAGTTGGAAATTCAGATTTGTGTTTCATGCAAATTTTGGTTCTAGCATTCTAGAAACATAGATAGACCTTCTTCCCTCAGTCCAGATTCCAGAAGGGTTTTGTCAAGAACGTCCTTTAAGTCACGTCCACTGAGAAGATGAACAGGGGAACAATTTAAAGCATCACCAATAAAGGAGAATATTTTCTAGCCCAGGGTTGAAATGAGGAGTCCTTTACCCGGCTAGCACTGATGATGTTACCTAGTTTGGGTCATGAAATGTCTGTAAGGAAGCCACCAAGGTCGGAGAGCAGCCAGGAAGCCCTCATTAAAGCATCATCACCCAGGCTAATCCTACCTTGCCTGTGGCTCCATGAGAAACGAACTGGGCCCCCTCCCTCAAGGCGACCTCCATCTGCTTGCGGGCAATACATGGCCGGGCCAAAGACGTGCCAAGGAGATACCGGTCTTCATAGAGAGCTCCAGCTTGGACAGCTGGCCAGATAAACTCTTCTACAAATTCCCTGCTGAGGTCTTCAATGTAAACCTGAAACACAGAATATAGAACACGCAAGAATAGGGACCTTGGAGGTCTTCTAGTCCAACCCCATCCTGCTCAAGCAGGAGACCCTAGGCTATTCCAGTCAAATAGGCTGGCCAATCTCTTCTTAAAAACCTCCACTGATGGAGCATCTTCTGGAAGAAGGATTTTTTTCCCCCTGGTAATTACCTAATTTCTAATTATTTTTAAATGGTTTACTTCCTCCACAAGATTCCGAAAGGAATCTATTTGGCCACCTCTAACTCAGAGAGGGTAAAATACTGCCAAATGAAAAGCATGACGGTTGGAGGATTCTGCGAGTTGCCGTCCATGTATCTTTTCATAAACCATTCTTCTTTCTGCAAACCATGGTTAAACAAACCGAGGCTAGGTGTAGCAGGCAAAACTAAACACTCACCTTTTTGGCACCCAAAGAGAGAGCTTTGGTTCTCGCCTTTTCAAAGTTTTCATCTTGTCCAATGTTGGCCTGGAATATATTTAAGACAAAAAAAAAATTGAAAATAACTTCCAGAAGGAAATCTGCTCTCCCCCCCCCCTTACTGGTTTTATCCCCCTTTGGGTCTTGTTTGTGTGCTTTTAAGGGAACAAAGATGCCAAGTCTTTAATTGTACAAAGGGGTCTCATCTTTTGGGGCATCTTAGCATATCCTGGACAGTTTGAGGCAGTCCTCAAACTAGGAAAGGGGGCTGCTGAATTCTGGAAGGGCAGAGCCATTTCCCATCTTTGAGACACAGAAATTAAGGGAAGAAATTAAGGGAAGAAGAAGAGGGAAGAGGAGAAAGGGAAGAGGAAGGGATGGGAGGGAGAGAGAAAGAGAGAGAGAGAAGGAAGGAAGGAAGGAAGGAAGGAAG